TCAGGTCTCTTGTAAATGAGTCCCAGAGGCTCAGTGGGATTAACCTGTATAAATAACTGGAAACAGAAAAAAAGCTAACCTGGCATTGACTAGCTCTCTAATCTGTCCATATTTCACTCAAATAATACAAAGTACAAAATAAAATGAATTCATCCTCCCAGTACAACAACAGAATAATGATAAATGAAACCCTTGTACGAGTTTAAACTCGGCTGGTTCGGAGTCTTTAAAGTATAAGACTCTAACACTTCATGATTTTAGGCAAATCTGAGCTACAACCACTTCCTGTGGGAGGAGCTCATTGAATCATAACGACGAGTCCAGTCCATTCCGTCTACTGAGCCGAACCGAACTTGGACAGTTAAAATAATATAAAAGTTGCCTTAAGAAACCCATACATTAGTTTTACAGCATACCCCAGACCATGCACGAGCATGCATTACTGCTTCAGGTTATATAACGATGTGAACGGATTCACAATCTGATGGGCGATCACATTAGCTTGTAGCATGCTAACTGCTAATATGGCATTGTATTATACTCAGAAACATCAGTGAGACACATTTTTAAACTCTTTAAACCCACGGCGTATTATCCCAACCCATCTTAATGTTCGCAGCACTTCTAGCACGTACCAGACACAATGGAACGTCTCCTTTCGGTGCCCGATGTGAAAAGAAGTTACAAAATAAACGTTTTAACACCGGCCGCATCATGCTGCTCTCGGCGTCTGTGCACTTCAGAGATCAGTCTCAATGACTTCCTCCGTCTGCTGTCACACTGGCTGTGTGAGGCTGTTTCACAGGCATTCGTTTCCTCTCAGGCTCCAGAGGGGCTCAGAGCTCACCCCACCAGAGGAATCTCATCCTCCACGGCTCTGCACGGAGCAGTGTCAGTGCAGGTCATCTGCACAGCAGCTTCTTGGGCTTCTCCGTGCTCATTTATTTGCTTTTATCTGCATCGTGTCTCGAGCTTCTCCCCGACTCACTCTGTCCTCAGAGTTTTGCGAGTGATGATGCAGATATTTTAGTGAGGTCTCCATCCCGCCTGTTCTCACAGCAGCAGGGGTTTCAGCTGCTTCAGTCTGACGCAGATTATTTCTGCTCTGCGGCTCTGCACATCTCAGGTGCACAGATTCAGTGGCGCATAATTACGCGTGATTTGAAGGCTCAATACGTTTTATTTCAAAGAGTAGCAGATATCTGTATGATTGTGGTACTGCACAGACCCAGTGAGGCATAGACTACATCCTGCTTTGCCTTTAACCCACTCGTGCTAGCCATAAAGGGCGACGCCTTTATGAAATAGAACGTTGGTTACGTACTGTAACCCCAGATATGAGTGTAGGCACAGCCCTTTAAGATCTGGGCCACACTGGCTCCTAAATGGATGAAGAAAAACACCATTTGGGAGTCTATTCCCAGTCCCAGCGCAATTTATACAGACCGGGGTGGGGCCCACACAGCAGGAGGGCGTGGCCTAAAGTTTTCAGTGCTGTGCGCAAAGGGTAATCCAAAGAGTGGGAAAGGTTTGTATAGGAGTGTGGGAATAATTTATAAAGCCTATATATATATGTATATAATAAAATAAACGTAACACCGCTACTTCGATAATTTCCACCTATCGAAGGGGTCTCTAGAAAGTAACTCCTGTGATAGGTGAGGGATCACTGTATTCCCAATTTGTGATAAGAATTATACTGCACAATCATTCCAAAAAGTATGATCTAAGCTCCTCTATTAGAATAGTTACTCCATCAATTAATCCCCACAAATCTAATATTTCCCAATGAATTAATCTCAACAGCAAATTTAAAGCCAGTTAACAAAATGTTCTTCCTCATATTTGTCAAATTGTTATCTTTGTCTAACTCAAAAAGCAAAAATCTAACTTGTTCAGCTTTCTTTATCAGATCTTCAGTTCAGGTCACAAGGAAATGAGATGAGACTGTCACAGGGTCGTTATGAACCAGGAGCACGTCTCAAGTTGTGATTACAAATCAGGCGCCTGTCCGTCTGTCTCAGTCCTCGATGTCCTCAATGTCAACAAGTACCACAGATTAGTCTCGTCTCTTAAACACAATCTCACCGACAACGAAACCTTCTGCTTTATGAGAGGTATCCACTCCTGTCTTGGTTTTTTATTTTGTCCTCTCCCTCAGCAGAGGGTGCAGCGCATATGTCCACGAGAAATTCACTTTCCTATCCCAGTGCAAGATTGTTTTTGGCCTTCTTGTGGCATTTCAACTTTCACTTTGGACTCTCTCAGAGCAACTTGGAGCTGCTTAGCGTCCAACCAAAAGTGTAAGATGCACTTACATAAATTGAAACAAACCGTGTTTAGAAAGACGGGCTTCACTGTGCGTTACTTCTCTAGATTAGACGCGGCACTCAACTTCAGCCAGCAGCAGCTAGTTTAAGAAAGTACCTATAACGCACTTCATAGTGTCAAAAAATATGCGTGCAAATCCTACAAACAGCAGAAAACACTAGAAATGTATCCAACTAGAGTGAAAGGAAAAAAAAAAAGACAAAACTAACAAGACAGCTTCTTCAACAGCTGTATTGACACTGGATTATTTACTCTGTGTTGCTTTCCAGCAAATCTTCACTAAAGCTGATACGATGTGACCTTCTCATGACGTGAGCACGCAGAAGCAGGGACATGAATCTCTTGTGACTGGGACGAAGCAAAGCTTCACAATGAGACATCGAAATGAAACAGTTTTCCAAAGCGATCCAACCAAAATGGCAATTTAAGAACTAAAAAGGACAACAAATGTGGCGAGCAACGTTGAAGAACTTCTGTGCATGAATCATACCAGGGGGAGCACGGATCACACCAGTTTCATTATATGTTAAAACCAATAAGCACTCAGATGTCATATGTACTTAATTACTTCTGCACACTCAAACCTACACATCCACTCACAGCTGCAAAGACTGCACAAAAATATTAAGCTTACCAAAGAGCAGATTATGCCAAAAGTAATTAATTTCCAGGGCAGATAAACACAAAATATATGAAAAAATACAAATAAATTCAACAAAAACAAGACTATTAACACAAAAGCTCAATACTAATGATCAGCTGAGTACTTTTAGAGATTAAGTTCAGTTGTTAAACGCTTCCTTTCTCAGTTATGACAATATGTTGATGAAATCTGTCCTCAGACTAATAAGTGACTGCCAAACTCCCGGAGTAGGAATTCCTGCAGAGACGTGCGTTTCCAGATTCAGGTTTTGCATTCTGGTGCACACGTAAAATAAAGTATATATATATTTTTTGTTTTGCAAGAGATGCATCTGAGTGACAATATTTAGGCTAAAATAATAATAATACGGCTCAAAGACTTTTGTTTTTAAGAAAGCCTATTCTGCCTCCACGTGATTTTATCACTGATTTTAGTCGCACTTTGAGATTTTTGTTAATGAAAAGTGCGTTACAAATTAAATTCATCGTTATTATTATTAATTCGTTATTTAACATCTGCATTTATATACAGAACCATCCTGTTTTGAACAGTGAAATCTACATATTTTATGTGGAAATTATTGATATTTGTTCAATTATTATTATTATTTTACTTCTGGTAGTACTTGACATTTGGATAAAGAAAACACAAGTCACTTAGGGGATGTGATGCTTTTCTCAGACATATGAAAATGAGATATTCATAACTACACCTTAATTAAAATGAGATATTCATAACTACACCTTAATTAAAATGAGATATTCATAACTACACCTTAATTAACTCGAGCCCCATCATGAAAGAACTGCTGATTAAATGTCAGCTGTGTCGAATAAATATATCTGAATAAATCACAGGCAGGTGGAATCCAAGGGAAACTGTTCAAATACTTAATGAAAGTTAAAAATATATAAAATACTGCGTGGATGCAGACACAGATAAGGGAGAATATACCTACAGTTAACTTTGAAGGGGTTGGTCTGTTTTCGCCTGGACATAGTACTGTCCCCTCACAGGATTACTAAATTCAAATACTGTCCCGGACGGTGCTCCTGCATCCAGATGTGCTCCGAACGAGCAGGAAACAGATGAAAAACGTCAACAATTCATCCTCTGACGGATGAATGGCGGCCGTTTGTGGAGAAATAAACAAAGAGAGATCCAAACCGCGTCTGGCGCGCGCGACGTTTTACTTGTTAAAATAATAATATTAATTAAAAAAAAAAGTCTCCAGCGTCCTGGTACAATGATAAAATGATGTCCAAACCCGAACAAGAGACGCGGAGCAGCGCCGAGCCGCTCCGTCCGCAGCCGCGGGCTCACAGCAGCAGCAGCGAGCGCACGAGCTCAGCTGACGAGCAGAGGCAACGCGGAACGGCATTCTGGGAAACGTAGTCTACAAGACGGGGACGGAACTAACACGAGTTAAGGAAATGCCTTTGTCGGCAAAAAGATTCTCAACGACAGGATCTCCCCATATGTTGTTATTTTTAGCTCAATATTTAAAGATTCTCAATGACAGGATCTCCCCCATATGTTGTTATTTTTAGC